CCCCCGCCCCACGGGCACCGCGCGACATGGCAGGTGAGGGGCGCGCACGCCGCGGCCTGCGGGGCCCGGGCCTAAGGCAGGGGCCGGGGGTAGCGGAGCCGGGCCGGGCATGGCACTCCCTCCTCAGCGCTCTCCTCTTCTCTTTTCTCCTCTCCTCTCCCCGCAGGGGTGGCAGGAGGCGGTGGCGGCGGCAACGACTTCCAGTGGTGCTTCTCCCAGGTGAAGGGGGCCATCGACGAGGACGTGGCGGAAGGTAAGAGCCGGGCGCCCGCTCCTGGCGGAGCAATGACTAAGCTCGTGCCTGCGCCGTGCGGAGCCGCGCTCCTGGAGGGCTGGTGCCGGGGCCGGAGGCGGCTTCCTCCTCCCCTGCCTCCGGGATCGCCCGGGAGAGCGGGGCTGGAGGGTGGGGGGGAACGCATGGAGGCTGCCACTTCTGCCAGGCTCTGCTCTGATGCGTCCTCGGGAGAGGCTTCGTCTGCAAGCACGGCTGGGAGTCGCCTTGTGGCAATGGAGGATTTGCTGCTTTCTCCTTTGCAAGCCGCAGGTCGCAGAGGATAGGCCCCTCTTGGGAGTGCAGTTGGGAAACAGGAGTCTGCCTCGGCTCTTGACAAGAGCGAGGACATCAGGCGTTTAAAAAATGGGCAGTGTTGAGGCAGGTGATCTTGCTGTATGAGTTGCATGAGGGTTGCCATTTCAATTTTTCTAAGCCTCCCACCTTGGTGCTAGGCTGGTTTGGGTTTGCTGTGGTAAAGCTGCACAGAGCTCACACCTCCTCTCATCGCATTGATTCACATTTTTACTGTATTAAGCAAAAGCAGTGCTTCCATAACCCGCAACTACATCTTCAGTATCTCTTGCTTGTCTCTAGGAAAGGTTTTGTTCTTATTGCTGTCCATGACACATGAATTAAACATTGCAGGTTACTTTGAGAGATTTGGGTTTTTTTTCATTTGGGGGGGAAAGCATGGTCAAAAATGACTGGCATGGGAGGAGATGTGGAGATTGTTACTAATTTTTCATTTGTTGATTGTCATCTTGAGTGATTAGTTCTCTACTTTTTCCTAAATTTCTAAACTTTCTAGAATTCCTGTTTAAATATGCTGCTAACGTTTTCATGCATGCTTGCAACGGTCCTCATTTCCTAACAACTCTGTTCTTTCTAAAAGCTTAAAGAGCCTTCTTTACACATCTAGCAAAGCAAAGTCGTGGCAAGATATTTTGCACAATTATATTATTCTCAAGTCACTGTTTATTTACTTTCTGAGCTACCAATATGTCTTACTTCTGTTTATAATGCCATTCCATGTGGAAGAACTTGTTAGCAAAGACCCAACACACAACCAAGAGTGGTGTTTAGAAAGCTCCATTCATTGATGTAGTCATTTGTGATAGGGAAGAATTGTATAGCTCTAAAAATAATATTAATTCTCAGCATTATATTAGGGCTGCATGTTCTTTGACTGTGGGATTGATATTAAATACCTATTCAGTCAATGGGGGTTTCTGTCCTAAGTAAAAATTGCATATTTAGGGTGTGTGGCCTGATTCACTTTAGGGTTGTAAGCTGTATGGAATCTGACAGGGATCTTTGGCTCACTGCCCACGTAACAGCTGGCTAGTTCAGTCCAAAAATAGGTAGTACTACCAGCATTGGAAAGATGCAGGCAGCCAGGTCTCCAGGGGAATGCACTGGTTCAGCATATTTCTGGGCAGTCTGCACCAGTATTGTTCCTAATTGGCTCCATTTACAAGCTAAAACTGCCTTCCTGTGATTGAACTCTAAAGCAGTGGGGGCCAACTGTTTTGGCATGTGCGCCACAAGTTCCCCCTGCACCCTCCATGGCTCTAGAGGATAATTATGGTGCACAGTGAACCTGTCTTATGAGTGAATCTCATGCACTGATCCCTTTTCCCTTCGTCTGCGTTTTCTGTTTCATACCCTGCCTGATATGTTTTTTGCTCCCTGCCCTATGTTTCATGTGGAGGCTGCCCTTGCTACTTGTAGCACAAGTACTGCAAGTTGGCTACTTCTGTCTTAGAGCGGGGCTGTCCAACTGGTGATACATAGGCTACATGCAGCTTGCAAGGGATTAATGTTTGGCTCCTGAGTTCTCTCTCAGCTGCTGCTTTCCCCATCAGACCAGTCTGGGTTCCCCCACCTTTTCCTCCCCTGGCTGCAACTTCTTGCCTGTGCCCCAAGGCGTGGGGCAGTGTGGCTGCAGAAGGAGTTGAGGGTGAGTTGTGGGCTGGGAGGGAAGGAGTACAGCAGTAAAGGGGGATGCCTGCACAGGCGTGTGTGGCAAGGGAAGAGCAGAATTGCGTTCATGTACCTACCCTCACAGTGCAGTGATAGGAGGGATGCCCATGTGGATGTATGTTTCAGTGGGGGATGGGAGGGAGCACACCCCTGGGGTGTGTGGCCCTCAGGGCTTTAGAAGCTGGACAGCTTTGGACCCCATGCACATGGTGCATACTGAATCTCCCTCACAAGCAAATGTCACTGAGAGGTATCTGTCAACTTTGGTGTAGGATCTACCTTCCCAATGACTATTTTTAAGAGTTGAAACCAGTATTTATAGAAGTCTGTTGATGTGGGGTTTCAGTTGGCTAGAGTTCCTTTTTTTTGGCTCAAATTTCTAATTTAATTCCATTAGTTCACAAATTGTGATTTTTTTTTCCCCCCACTACATAGTAAATGAAGGTATCAATTGCATCTCTTTAAGGGTGTCTTAAATAATGTTTTTATGAAAAGCATAGCATTCAGATGAGAGGCAGTATCATTAGCTCTTTACCAATTAATAGCCCTTGTTAACATTTATTTTTATGAAATTATTAGGGTATAATCCTTAATTTTATGAAATTATTAGGGTATAATCCTTAATTTTTATGGAAATTGGGGGTGAAGTCCAAAAGACCTATACAATATCTATGGAGAAAATAGAGTATCCTGGTACTACATGGCCGTAGAAGTGGATTCTGTTAATTTGGAATCTTTAAAATTGTAATTTGCTACCAAGATGTAGTCTTGCTTCTAACTTCTTGCTAACTTGTTTCTAGATGCCTTCTATAAGGCAAAAACTAATGTTCTATGACTCAGTAATGATTTGGGGAAAATAATATGGTCTTTCTCCTGTAAAAGATAGCTCAGTAGATTTTTTTGATACTGTAAAAAACCTTTTGTACACTGTCAGTTCCATTTACTTTTTTGAACAGCCAATATTTGTAAAGTCAAGCTCTTTTTTTCCTAAGAGGGGATTTTTAATTACATTTTTCATTTTCTCTTGGCTTTTGCCATTTATGATTTTTTTTGCTGTTATCTTTTGTTTTTAAGTGGGATGTGCAAATGATAGCTGGATCTCTTGTCTTGAATTGTGATCTGTTAGTGTTTCTCTTCATTCTTCTGAAATTTACTGGAGTCTGACTGCACATGTAAGGAAGGTTGCACTGTTGGATCCCAGAACTAGGTTGTGTCCTTGATTGCTGAAACATAAGGTTTAAATGCAATCTTTCACTGAACTTTCAACATAAACTTGTTTGGTACACTTGAAATAGAGTAGTATTGGCAACATAACTAATATCCAAGAGTCCTCTGTCACTTTCTGTAGCCTTACAGTAGTTCTTTATCCATTTTTGTTGTATCGAAAGGGAGAAATGGAGGAAGCATTATCAATAAAGAAATCTGCAAATGACTGTATAAAGAAAATAAAAAGTTTCAAATGTGCAAAGTACCTGTTTTTAATTCACTTGATAGTTACAAGTAAGTTTATTATAACAGGGTTTAGAAGGAAAATGTAACTGGAAAATATAATTTTAGTTCTGCTTTACAGAAATACTGTTAACTTTAGAAGTTTACATTCAACACTTATTTCTGTGCATTGTGTTAATGTAAGGAAAATGCTGTTAGGATTGTTACTGTCTTCTCATGCAGTTACAATTACACCCAAAAGCTCCATTGCCAGATTTTGTCTTTAACTGTGTGAGGTTTCTGCCTCTTCTGGATGCTGCCTTTGCTGAAACGGGCATTTGAATGAATCACTTTTTTTTAGAGATTAGAATAGTAGTATGTGTGGAAATGCAGTATTTTGAGAGTCAAAATGGATATGTTAGTAATGAATTTATTAAATGCATTGCTTACAGAAAGATTAGATGTTGCAGCAGGACAGGATTGAGGAAGAAGACTGAACAAGAATAGGATACAAGGAGGAATTTGGAGAGCACTGAAATACATGTTGTTAAATGTAATAAAGTTATGCTAATTAAAATGATTTAATACATCTAAATTGTAGTTTCTTATTTTCAGGGGAACATGCATGTGAAAATTGAATTAACTAAACATAAAATTATCTTCTCATCATAAATTTCACTTTAAATGCATTTCAGCTAGATCTATATCTTGTAATGCTTTCAATAAAAGAACCAGTCTGTCAGTAGGCAAAATACTAAATTAATTCTTAAAAAACAAAATGCCAAACTGTGGTCTGGCCACAGCAATTGCACTTCATTCAAGAAGAAACTTGTTTATCCCTCTTAGATGAACATTAATCCATTGTGTGTATCAGCATAATGATATATTCAGATCTTCGAGGTCAAAAGCCATGGCCACGTTCCCTAATCACTTTCCAGTGTGATTAATAGAATAATGTTCATAATTTTAAAATATGTCTAGCCAGTACCACAGATCTTTTGATTCAGTTTTACTGGTGACTAGTCAGGAATCTATTGAAATATTGGAAATAATCTGATACTTGTGAGCCTGACAACTTTTATGTACTTGATTTTTTTTTTGGTGACGTTTGCTAGTACTGTTAACACTTTGGTTAATTTGTTTTCCCTAAAAGCAGAGTGTGCATGCACATGTGTGCATGCATGGAGCACTATTAAGTTCGATAGGGGCCACCTGAATGCAGTATTTTGTAAAATCAGAACTTTTTTTTTGTAGTAAGCTTAAATATGAGAGTGCATTTAAAATGATGAAGTGATCATTAACTTCTTAAAGTCCATGTATTGTCTGATATTATTGGACTTTCCACATATGTTTACATCAGTGGTTCTCAACCTCCTTAGACTTTTAACATCTCTTGGAATATAACCACTTTTTAGTTTTCTTTTGACTATGGAAAAGGAATACAGCAATTTTCTGCTGCAAGGAACTCAAAAAGACCACAGCAGGGTTTTTTTGACTCTGTGGATTCCTGTTTGAAATGTTTAGGTTTATTTTATGAATTATGTATGTGTTTGCACATGCAACAGTGC